GTAGTAGTAGAAGTAGTAGTAGTAGTAGTAGTAGTAGTAGTAGTAGTAGTAGTAGTAGTAGTAGTAGTAGTAGTAGTAGTAGTAGTAGTAGTAGTAGTAGTAGTTAGTAGTAGTAGTAGTAGTAGTAGTAGTAGTAGTAGTAGTAGTAGTAGTAGTAGTAGTAGTAGTAGTAGTAGTAGTAGTAGTAGTAGTTAGTAGTAGTAGTAGTAGTAGTAGTGTAGTAGTAGTAGTAGTAGTAGTAGTAGTAGTAGTAGTAGTAGTAGTAGTAGTAGTAGTAGTAGTAGTAGTAGTAGTAGTAGTAGTAGTAGTAGTAGTAGTAGTAGTAGTAGTAGTAGTAGTAGTAGTAGTAGTAGTAGTAGTAGTAGTAGTAGTAGTAGTAGTAGTAGTAGTAGTAGTAGTAGTAGTAGTAGTAGTAGTCTAGTAGTAGTAGTAGTAGTAGTAGTAGTAGTAGTAGTAGTAGTAGTAGTAGTAGTAGTAGTAGTAGTAGTAGTAGTAGTAGTAGTAGTAGTAGTAGTAGTAGTAGTAGTAGTAGTAGTAGTAGTAGTAGTAGTAGTAGTAGTAGTAGTAGTAGTAGTAGTAGTAGTAGTAGTAGTAGTAGCTAGTAGTAGATCCAAGTAGTAGAGTAGATATCGCTCAGGGACAGAGGAAGCACAGAGTGAGAACTGTCTTTAGCTTGGTACCACATATTGAAATGATTAATTAATTAATCATTGCATTTTTACAGCACCTTTCAATACAGCCAAAGTGCTTTACAGTTCATTATTCATTCACTCAACACTCAGTGGTGGTAAGTGAGGGAATAGCACTCCTACAGATACATGACCCTGCTCGTTCCTAAAGCCACACAGCTTTGGAACGCTCCTCATTTCAGTTTTCTGCAGCAGTGACTGGAACCACCTTCAACAGACTTTAAAACTAAAACTTAGTTCGTTTTTACCTCTGTCAAATTTGAAAACCTCCATCCAGAGTATTTAACAGGACAATTGTACATGCTTTTAACACTTTTATATCTTTATTCTTCAAATGTTTCACTGTCTTATGTGTCTATTCACTGTTTCATGTTATATTTTATGTGTGAGTGTTTTCTGTTTGTGCTTCTGTTTTATTCTGCCTCTTGGCCCGGTCGTCGCTGTAAATGAGAAGGTGTTCTTCACTGATTTACCTGGTAAAATACTGAATAATTATAAAAATAAATGAATAAAAATAGACGGAAGCAGGGCTGCCAATCTGCACTCCGACCACCATTAACATTCACACACACTCCACTTTCATACTAGGCAATGTGGGTGAAGTGTCTTGTTTAAGGACACAAGAACAGTTTTTGTGACTGGCCCCCCTTGTGGCACCTGGAATTCCCAGCGTTCTCCCATCTAAATACTGACCAGGCTGAGTTTCTGAGATCTGACGAGAGCAGGATTTGACAATCTGGTATGGCCAAATATTAGAGTGACAACAACAATAGTGGTACACTCTTAATCCAAGATTCAACAGCAAATACCAAACACAAAAATACAGTGTTTGACCAGCAGTGCTATTACCAGCACAGCTATAGAGAGGACAACAACAACAAACACAATCCAGTGTTAAACCCAACCCTCCCACAGTTCATGAGTAACATGCATCTAGGTTATGATGTTTGTACTGAGATGAGTGGAAAAGAGTTCAGTCCATGTGGAGGGGAAAGTGATCGTGGGTTTGAGAGTTTGTGTGGGTTGAGAGTTTGTGTGGACTGCAGGAAGCCCCTTACCGACCCTGGCAGGAGAGGTATCAGTCCTTTCAGCTGAGTACAGTCTTTTACACTCTAGACCTGCTCCTTTAGCTCGCCATCAGATTCAGTTCAAGAAACCTGGACAGTTCCATGTTTATCGTTGCATAAAGCCCATATGACGGACGAAACGGACGCGGTAGCCGACGGCTCCTGCTGCACAACTCTGGTCTGGCGCCCCCACTGCATCTGACCTCACTGAATCACCGCGGCATGATAAAGGAAACCCGATAGGCAGCGCCGGATCACATGACCGTGTGATGTCATGAAATGGGAGCATCTGATTGGCCAACAGGCGTACGTGAGCGTGTGATCCGAAACCTCGCATGAACATCACAAAATACCACATGTATTGAGCGGAAGTGCAGATACATGAATGAATGGAGAGAAAAGAATGGCAGGCGGGTCAGGATTTGACACCTGAGTTACATAATTTTTTTCTGTGTACATTTGTATAGATCCAATAAAGCCTGACACTAACCCTAACCTCCCCAGTTTTATGATTATTATTTTATTTTTTTTATTTTTTCAATTAGACACGGCTTTGATGCTTTTTGCACATGATGATCACACTTTATACCTTAGTTATGCCAAATTTCAATTAATTTATATGAGTCTGTATAGTTAATTTTGCCGTATTCTGCTCAAATAGGACTCCAACTAAAGGAAGCACATATTGACAGAACATTATCTTCTATCAAATAAGGCTCCCACTATATAAGAGAAAGAAATGACTGGAAACACTGAAATCTTTATATTAAATACCATTAAATTTATAATATTTAACGCTAATATCATAGGCTACAGAGTGAATTTCCTATTATAATATAGTGATAATTTATTTATACAATGCCTTTCTAAATAAAGTTACGTCTTCTACACATGGAAATAAAATAAAATGCAATGCAATGAAAACGATAACGATAAAACCAAATATTAAATCCAAACTCTTCAATCATCTAACGTAGGTATTCTGCCGCAAATGTAACAAGCGCATGTTGATGTTTAACTGGTCAAAACCAATACACATTAAAAAATATTTAAATATTACTCCACTTCTCCCTCGGGAGCTCAAATCGACGGCATTTATACCGTAACAGTTTCTTCTTCCCATTCCTTTTTGGGCGAATAATAATAATAATAATAATTTCTTGTTGTTATTTTCATTTCTATTATGATTTCACTTATGTTATATGTTCCATTGTATATGAATGTAAATCTGTACTTGCCCAAAATAAATGCATAAATAATAAAAAATCAATAAATAAATAAAAACAGCTCTTGGGGGTTGTGTGCATGCCCTGTAGCGGTAGGTAGCTCAAATCGACGGGTAGCTCTAATCAAAAGGAGACCGGCAATGTTCAGGAACTGCACCATGTGTGAGTCTTCTGGCATTTTACCTGGAAATTTACTGGAAACTACTGGAACTTCAGACATCTCTACTGTATAGGTGAGGTTCATTGTTTACAAAAGCGTGCGTTGCATGCTGGGAATTATTTTGGTCGGCGGCAAGAAACACTAATTTAACATGACGGACGGAGCGAGAAAGCACGTAAAGGGTATTGATCCTGGTTATTTATCCACTCTTAACGGCAGAGGACCCAAGACCATTTGACCAGAAATTGGTCATAAGCATCGACAGACGACAAATCACCCTTTTCAACCCCGACAAAAGGTGGACCAAACCAAACTTCGGGTCGGAATCACCAACTACCTGGACAAATATTAGGGGCTGGGTATCATTAAGAAGTTGCCAATACGATACATACCTCAATACACAGGCCACGATACGATACATATCTCGATACAGTGCACTTTCGATTTGATATGATATATTTCAAATCGATTCGATACGGTTCAATAAAAAATAAAGGCTAAATCATGGCTGTGACACTAAAAGTCTTTGTTAAACCACTTCTTGTGCAAAGTTCATGTGAAACAAACATTTTAATCCTCAAAACAGTGAAAATGTCAAATGTGTCGTATAAATTAGTTTCCTTTCACTCAACAAGCAACAAAACTGTAGCTGTAACAAAATTATTTAGTAAAACACACCTAAAATACTCTTGGTGATATATCGATACAGTAGCCCACGATATCGATAATGTATCATCACATTAAACGACACCATTTATCGATATTCCGATATTTTTGCACACCCCTACTAAATATTCACTTGGGCGATATCCACAATGACTTGGTGGAAACTCCTGGGCCATTCACAGCAGAAAAGATGAAAACCTCCAAGAGTCGCGATGTGTTGTTGAACTTGTTGGAGTCCACGGTTTGTTAGGATCTTCTACGTTTGCTCTGCGGATGTTTGAAAGCCGTTTAAATTTGCCGTTAGCAGTTCTTTTCACTCAGAATACAAAAAAGACATTTTCCTTCTTCCGTGCTTCTATTTGTGCATCTGATAATGCAGCAGGAATTTACCATTATCAGGGAGAAATACACGAGGTTACACACTGTGTTTGACCACTATCGTGTTTCTTGCCTCTGACCAAAATATTTCCCAGCATGCAACGCGGGCTTTTAATAACAATGACGTCAGCTGAAACTCGCAAATTGTCACCTGCTTGGATCTAAACGTCAAAGTTCATCCAGACATTATACCATGGTCAGTGAGAATTCCGAGGCTGCAATGCATTATTTTTGTATAACCGCAGTTATCTGACAGTAGTTAATCATTGGTCGATATATCTACACTGTGAGCATCTCCATAGCAATAGGTAAACAAACGAGCTGCTGTCAGGAGGGATGAGCTTCAACTCAAACTGAAATGACTAATGCCTTGAACATCCATGGACAGCCAGAAGGATTTGAATTTAAAAGTGAACTATTTTCAGCTGGTGGGACCATGGTATAAGCGGATTAAACACATCAGACCAGTGCATCACCCAGTTTTAATGCATGTGTTGTGCGTCGTGGTGTTCCAGGCTCCGCCCCAGTCCGTGTAAACCACTGCCCCTCGCTGTTTAATCCTTACATAAACTTTTCATAACACTTATCTCACATGTCTTAGTCTTTCCTGATTGAAGTATTAATTAGCCTATTCACTGTTAAGAGACTGAACATTAAAGGATTTATACCAGTCTAATAAAAGTGCCATAAACATCTGATGATCACTCCCAAGTAGATAAGATAAACCAGGATCTGAGCTCCGAGCTTCAGAAGGATCAGGCAGTTGTGGAGGAAAGACACTGGAAACAGACTGGACTAGAGTCAGTTTTTGAAAATGCGTGCTCCGGTGGTCTTGGGTCTCCTCTGGGCCTCCGTAGCGTTGGCGTCGCCGGTGAGCAGGCAGAGGCAGAAGCTGTTGCTGATTTCGTTCGATGGGTTTCGGTGGGATTACGACCGCTATGTGGACACCCCGAACCTGGACCAGATGGTTAAAGACGGAGTGAAGGCTCAGTACGTCACTCCTCCGTACCTCACCATCACCAGCCCCACGCACTTCACTCTGCTCACAGGTAAAGATCTGCTCCATCACTCACTGGTTAGTGCCTGCACATCATGGCAAGAGGGTTTCGGGTTCGGGAGTCTTTTTGTGCACAAAATGTGTCTAAATGTCTGGGTGGGTTTCCTGTGCGTGTGCCACTATCAACCCAAAAACATGCACAAATCTTCCAGTTGAGGTAGTTCTGGTCAAGACTAGCTCAGGGTCCAAGCTCCTGACAGGCACTGGAGGAAAAAACTGAACAAGCTCAATCAGAGACATCAACACTGGAACCAATTATTTTTGTTCCAATTAGAATTTTAACGGCAACAATGAAAGAGAAACAAACTGTTATAATTAGTGATTATCTCAAAAACTATTCATATTTGACTATACAAATTCATAGAATTATAAATAGATCATATTTTTTCTGAGATTTTGAGACACTCCTGTTGCTCGAGCTCCATCCTTCGTGGAGTTATGACCAAAAACACATATTTGACCTTGGTTACTTTGACCTTCAAGTGACCTTGACCAGTTTCAACCTGTAACATCCAGTGTACCTGGTTATGTGTGTGTCAACTTGTGTGATGATTGGGTGAATATTTTAGGCAACAGATGGTTCAGAAATTGCTGAAATTGCCTTTATCCTTCATAATGGTGTGACCTTTCAATTGACCCGTGTGACCTCAAATGACCTCGGATCATCACCAAACTTTTTTTTTTTGCGGCATCGGGAATGAGGGCTTGAACCACGTACCAAATTTTGGTGACAATCAGTCCATAAATGGTTTAATTATCACTGGTGGACGGACACACACACACACACACACACACACACAGCGTGAATACAAAACCTGGTGAACCCTTCAGGGACCGGGTAATAATAACTAATCATAAAATAAATAGTAACACATGATTCCATGGAAATAGGATGATTAGCCAAAGGAAGAGGCCCTCCTCTAGGTCAAAAAGGAGTTAGGTTTGTGGAGATTTTTTATTTATTTATTTTTTTAATATGACCAAAAAGGTATACTGTGACTCTAGACCTATATCTAAAGTCAGACAAAAATTATGATTCAAGGAAAAATTTGTGTATGAACAATTTCAGCAGAATAAAGATTAAGACCAAATTCTTCTGTTTTTCTCTATAAAATCACTCCCACAAATTAAACTGGCTTGAAATTAAATTCCTCTAATCTCCAGTGTTTGGGGTAAAACCTTGTCCAAAATCGTCACACTTTCTTTATCTTCAATTCAGATTCATTTTTTCAAGTTAATCTAAATTTCAGCCTGTCTCAGTTCTGCTGCTGAGGTCAGTATGTCATTGATGAGGTGAGAGTAGAATTAAATATCCATCAATGACAGCTTCCTGTTATATGCAGCATTTTGAGCTCAGTTTAGTTCTCAAGGTGTAGGTTTATTTGCCCTCTAGTCCTTGAGTCTTGGTCCAGTCCTTAAGTCTTGGTCCAGTCCTTAAGTCTTGGTCTAGTTCTTGAATCTTGGTCTAGTCCTTGGGTTTTGGTCTAGTCCTTTAGTCTTGGCCTACTCCTTCAGTCTTGGTCTAGTCCTTTAGTCTTGGTCTAGTCTTTTAGTCTTGGTCTAGACCTTGAGTCTTGGTCTAGTCTTTTTAGTCTTGTCTTGGTCTAGTTCTTCAGTCTTGGTCTAGTCTTTGAGTCTTTGTCTAGTCCTTTAGTCTTGGTCTAGTCCTTTAGTCTTGCTCTAGTCTTTGAGTCTTGGTCTAGTCCTTGAGTCTTGGTCTAGTTCTTTAGTCTTGGTCTAGTCCTTGAGTCTTGGTCTAGTCCTTGAGTCTTGGTCTAGTCCTTTAGTCTTGCTCTAGTCCTTGAGTCTTGGTCTAGTCCTTTAGTCTTGGTCTAGTCCTTTAGTCTTGGTCTAGTCCTTTAGTCTTGCTCTAGTCCTTGAGTCTTGGTCTAGTCTTTAGTCTTGGTCTAGTCCTTTAGTCTTGAGTCTTTAGTCCTTTCTTGAGTCTTGGTCTAGTCCTTGAGTCTTGGTCTAGTTCTTTAGTCTTGGTCTAGTCTTTAGTAGTCTTTTGTCTCTCTAGTCCTTGAGTCTTGTCTAGTCTTTAGTCTTGCTCTAGTCTTTAGTCTTGGTCTAGTCCTTGAGTCTTGGTCTAGTTCTTTAGTCTTGGTCTAGTCTTTAGTCTTGGGTCTAGTCCTAGTTAGTCTTGGTCTCTAGTCCTTGAGTCTTGGTCTAGTCCTTGAGTCTTGGTCTAGTCTTTAGTCTTGCTTTCTTTAGTCTTTAAGTCTTGGTCTAGTCCTTTAGTCTTGGTCTAGTTCTTTAGTCTTGCTCTAGTCCTTGAGTCTTGGTCTAGTTCTTTAGTCTTGGTCTAGTCCTTGAGTCTTGGTCTAGTCCTTGAGTCTTGGTCTAGTCCTTGAGTCTTGGTCTAGTTCTTTAGTCTTGGTCTAGTTCTTTAGTCTTGGTCTAGTCCTTTAGTCTTGCTCTAGTCCTTGAGTCTTGCTCTAGTCCTTTAGTCTTGGTCTAGTCCTTGAGTCTTGCGCTAGTTCTTTAGTCTTGCTCTAGTCCTTGAGTCTTGGTCTAGTTCTTTAGTCTTGGTCTAGTCCTTGAGTCTTGTCTAGTCTTTAGTCTAGTCTAGTCTTGAGTCTTGTCTCTAGTTCTTTAGTCTTGCTCTAGTCCTTGAGTCTTGGTCTAGTTCTTTAGTCTTGCTCTAGTCCTTGAGTCTTGGTCTAGTCTTGAGTCCTTGAGTCTTTCTAGTCTTGTCTTGCTAGTCCTTGAGTCTTGGTCTAGTTCTTGCTTTCTAGTCTTGCTCTAGTCCTTGAGTCTTGGTCTAGTTCTTTAGTCTTGCTCTAGTCCTTGAGTCTTGGTCTAGTCTTGAGTCTTGAGTCTTGGTCTAGTTCTTTAGTCTTGCTAGTCTTAGTCTTGCTTGAGTCTTGGTCTAGTTCTTTAGTCTTGCTCTAGTCCTTGAGTCTTGGTCTAGTTCTTTAGTCTTGCTCTAGTCCTGTAGTCTTTGTCTTGTCCAGGTTTAGTAGTTGATGTTGTGTTTTTGAGCTTTTCCTGTGCTCCTCAGGTCTGTACGTGGAGAACCACGGAGTGATTCACAACATGTTCTTCGACCCGGTCACCTCGCAGAAGCTGCCGTACTATCAGACCCAGTTCAAGAACGAGTGGTGGGACAACGGCCCTCTGCCCATCTGGATCACTGCACAGAGACAGGTCTGACTACAGGTTCATGCACACATTATTTATGTAAAAAGGAGATTTTGCAGCGTGGATGTATAAAAATATCTGGATAGAGTAATGCTACATTAAACTTGTCATGAGTCGGACTAGTGGTCGGTTCTTTGCAATGAAAAAACCTAAAAACTGCTGTGTTCGGCTGACAGGGACCTACAGCTTTCATAAACGTTGGTTCTTGTGGTGATTTTTGACTATTTTTAGGTCATAACTTTTTTCTCAGTTCAAAAACTTTTAGTTGCTTTTAGCCAGTTCTAGCCCTGATTGGTCAGCGCGGTCATGTGATCAGCCTGGGGTTGGGCGGCTGCTCGGGCAACACACACCACTGAGCTCTGCTGGTCAGGTCGGGTGATCAGAATGGACACAACAGCAAAGGTCTTGTTCTTCCTCCACTCTGGTGTTTCGGTTGGTGAGGAAATGGTTCATTCCCTTAAAGAAATTCCTCTGGAAGGTCTTCTGCCACATTTGTTGCCACAAATGGTGTAAAAAGTTTGAAGCACTTCAGATGTCTATAGCTCCTTACCTATCCTCTTGCACAGTCTCAAAACAAACAGCTCATTTCACACAATCCAACAGTCCCTTACTTGTGTCCTTTGCACTTCTTAGTTGATTAAAATCCCATGATACGATGTTAAAAACTGAGCTCAGAGCAAACAAAAAGTTTCAAAAAATAAACTGTGTACAGATTACTTCAGATTACAAGAACAATTTTAATCAGTGTTATTTTTCCTAATCTTTTCCAGGGTCTCAAAGCCGGCTCCCTGCACTTCCCCGGCACCGCGTCCACCTACAACGGAGAGAGCGCTTCAGTCCGAGAGGTGGAACCGAGCATGTACAACTACAAGAACGAAACCGCCTGGAGAGAAAACACGGACAAGGTCATGAGCTGGTTCAAAGACCAAGATCTGGATTTTGTCTCTATGTATTTCGGAGAACCGGATGGAACTGGACATCGCTACGGCCCAAACTCACCAGAAGTTCATGAGATGGTGAAGCAAGTCGATCGTACGGTTGGATACATCCGGCAAACTGCTAAAAACTACGGTTTAGAAGATCGGTTAAACATCATAATCACAGCCGACCACGGGATGACTCAAGTGGTCCAAAATGGCCTTCAAGAAATCACACTCTCTAAAATTCCTGGGTTTTCCTTCCAAGATGTGTCATTTTATTTGTTGGACTATGGACCCAGTGGGATGATCCTGCCCAAACCGGGGATGTTGGAAAAGGTTTACAACGCCTTAAAAGGGGCCAATCCACATCTGCACGTTTATAAGAAAGAAGAGCTCCCTGAACGCATGCACTTCACGAAGAGCGAGCGCATTTTACCCATCATCCTCTGGGCTGACCCCGGATATGTCATTAATTCGGTGAGTTAAAACACTGAAGGTGTCTGTTGGTTCATTGCTAAGCGGATTGGTCAGGATAATAATTGGATAATAAAGAACTCAGACTCAGGCAAAAACCAGACCTCAAAAGAAAACAAAAAACAGAAATAAATTATCT